ACCAGTAATTCTGTTACCAGGGATACAGACCTGTGGATTACTACCATACCAGTATTTCTGTTACCAGGGATACAGATCTGTGGTTTACTACCATACCAGTATTTCTGTTACCAGGGATACAGACCTGTGGATTACTACCATACCAGTATTTCTGTTACCAGGGATACAGACCTGTGGATTACTACCATACCAGTATTTCTGTTACAAGGGTCACAGGGTGACTTTCCTTCTTCCTCTTCAGTTTTGCAATCTGTACTGTAACAACGCCCACATTCATACAGCTGAATCTAACGTTATGTTTTCACATATCTTTATTAAAACAGGTTTTTGCAGGAAGAGCCGTGGCGTTTGGCAGCACCTCTATGGCTCCCCAGAACTACCACATAACTGAAATACCAAATCCGGTAATTCCATCAAACGCCTGCAGGGTGCACTGTTGCTTCTCGTGTTTATGATCCAATTTATAAACTTTTTATGGCTCTACCGCGCAGAATATTTATTGTACTTTATGTTTGTAGAGATGTAATTTAAACTGATCATGAGTGACAGTAGTTTGCAAACATGTTGAGTGATTATGTTTGCATAGGTTAGATTGTAGAGAGCTTTTAGGTTGGACCTGAAAGCGGCCATAGTTTTTTCCCCCCTGATTTCAGATGGAGAGGAGCTATTGCTATCTTGAAATGTTTTTGTGACAGGTTACCGGGTTATATTTCCTGTGAGAGAGCAAAAGTCGAGGCCAAGAGTTTTGCATAATTTCACAATTACTCAAAGATGGTTCAAGATTGTCCCCCTTGCTATCAACGCTAAACACAGGCTCTTCTGAAAGGAAATAGGGTTTTTGGGATTGGACCGGAGCATGGTTAATGAATCATAATTACCATAAAGCGCCCAGTGATCCCCATGTGTGGACAGGTCAATATCATTTCAGTCACCCTATCTGCAGGGTGGAGAACACTAAGCCAGGTTAAATTACATTTCTCCATGCCGTCACCACTCGTCTACCTTCACCATTTACTACCTGATGGCTTGTAATGTAACATCCTATTCAATTCACATTTGACGACGTCGGCTAATGGAAATATCCAATGTGGCTGTTGCGCTCACATTTGCAGGCATTTCCCGGCTGTCGTGGGCCATATATTCACAGGCAGGCATACTGATAATTGCTTGTTTAATTGCCTCAGACAATAGCTGATCAAAAGCCAAATATGAGTAATTGTCTAGACAAGCAGATTCTCCATGTCTCTGATTGTGTCGTCCCACTTCAACTACGGGGTTAAATTAGCATCCAATTAAACGAGACGTGTCATCACTGTCTCCCAACAACGCGGCAACTTTTAATAAATGTCGATTACTCACAGGAATCGGTCCCATATGACTGACCATTACCTACTTTTTCAAGTGCTTGGATTCAAATGAATGCACAAGTGCTTGGATTCAAAGTGCTTGGGAAATAGGGCCCCGTTTCAAATGATTCACACAGTTCCTATTCCAGTAACAGTTTTATCCCACCCATCATTAGGCTGTGAGGAGCGTGTGTTGGGTTTCTCCAGCCGACGGAACAGGAATTATTATAATACAATTAACATATATTTTTTCAATCACTTAAACCGGTAATCGACAGTTCAAACAATAACAATGAACGGTCACTTCCTGCCTTTGGTTCAGCGAATGTGAAATAAAATGGAATCACTGAAATTAAAAAAGCCCAATTCTTCTTGGTTTATTTTCCTCTAATTAGTCTTTTGACTTGTGAAATTGCTTGTGTGTTTCTCAATCCTCATCCCTTTTTGCAACTTGTTAGAGAGGAGGGTTTTATTATGTGACATTTGGGAGAGAAAAGGAAGTTAAGGCGAGCAGTGGGTCCAGTGTCCCTGTGAGTGCAATATTAATTTGAGCCGATGATGAATTAGGGAAGTAGGATTGCATTTGCATTTCCTGCACCATTTTTACACTACAGTGGTCCTGGCAGCTCAGTCCCAAACCAAGAACTGCAGTCAGCTCAGTCCCAAACCAAGAACTACAGTCAGCTCAGTCCCAAACCAATAACTGCAGTCAGCTCAGCCCCAAATCAAGCACTGTGATTTGTGCTAGCAATTAGCTCCTGTTTTAGCAATTAGCAATAATGTAGCGGTGAGAGCCAGATTCTGCTGAACACTGTATATACCACCAGGTTCACAGGATTCTGCTGAACACTGCTTATACCACCAGGTTCACAGGATTCTGCTGAACACTGCTTATACCACCAGGTTCACAGGATTCTGCTGAACACTGCTTATACCACCAGGTTCACAGGATTCTGCTGAACACTGCTTATACCACCAGGTTCACAGGATTCTGCTGAACACTGCTTATACCACCAGGTTCACAGGATTCTGCTGAACACTGCTTATACCACCAGGTTCACAGGATTCTGCTGAACACTGCATATACCACCAGGTTCACAGGATTCTGCTGAACACTGCATATACCACCAGGTTCACAGGATTCTGCTGAACACTGTATATACCACCAGGTTCACAGGATTCTGCTGAACACTGCTTATACCACCAGGTTCACAGGATTCTGCTGAACACTGCTTATACCACCAGGTTCACAGGATTCTGCTGAACACTGCATATACCACCAGGTTCACAGGATTCTGCTGAACACTGCATATACCACCAGGTTCACAGGATTCTGCTGAACACTGCATATACCACCAGGTTCACAGGATTCTGCTGAACACTGTATATACCACCAGGTTCACAGGATTCTGCTGAACACTGCATATACCACCAGGTTCACAGGATTCTGCTGAACACTGCATATACCACCAGGTTCACAGGATTCTGCTGAACACTGTATATACCACCAGGTTCACAGGATTCTGCTGAACACTGCATAAACCACCAGGTTCACAGGATTTTGCTGAACACTTTATATACCACCAGGTTCACAGGAAGTGGTCTCTTGTCTGTGGTCTCTTGTCTCTTGTCTGTGGTCTCTTGTCTGTGGTCTGTGGTCTCTTGTCTGAGGTATCTTGTCTGTGGTCTGTGGTATCTTGTCTATGGTCTGTGGTCTCTTGTCTGTGGTGTGTGGTCTCTTGTCTGTTGTCTGTGGTATCTTGTCTGTGGTCTGTGGTATCTTGTCTGTGGTCTGTTGTCTGTGGTCTCTTGTCTGTTGTCTGTGGTCTCTTGTCTGTGGTTTGTGGTCTCTTGTCTGTGGTCTCTTGTCTGTGGTCTCATTAATGTTCCACCTAATATCAAAATAATATCTCCTTCATGTTTAATGTCATTAATGTTCCACCTAATATCAGAATAATATCTCCTTCATGTCTAATGTCATTAATGTTACACCTAATATCAGAATAATATCTCCTTCATGTCTAATGTCATTAATGTTACACCTAATATCAGAATAATATCTCCTTCATGTCTAATGTCATTAATGTTCCACCTAATATCAGAATAAGATCTCACAGCTCTCAATGGTTCCACCTCCATTATAATATGGTTCCACCTCCATTATAGTATGGTTCCCCCTCCATTATAGTGTGGTACCAAATCCATTATATGGTTCCACCTCTATTATAATATAGTTCTACTTCCATTTCCAAAAAAACGCCAGTTGGAGAAAGGAGAAACAAAGTACTGTGACTTCTAGTTCAGGTCGGATATTACATATGAGCGGATTTGAAGTGAATGTGTAATATTGACTCTGCTTAGATATGTTACACCATTAAGATCCGGACCAACTGCTTTTACTCTTGCGGACAAACAGAAATCTGGATCAAAGTGGTGCTTTATATTTTTGTGCCACATTGTCATCAAGTTGTGCCAACTTTGCTCTCAGACAGTACAGTGGAAAAACTGGATAGTTCCCAAGTAGACATGATGAGCACTGGGCTGGGAAACGTTTGCAGGGATGAATGTATCAAATCAGTAGCCAAAGTGAGGCAAGCCTTGACCCAATGACAGGATCTCACAGCTCTCTATGTTACCAGCCAATATAAGGCAAGCCTTGACCCAATGACAGGATCTCACAGCTCTCTATGTTACCAGCCAATATAAGGCAAGCCTTGACCCAATGACAGGATCTCACAGCTCTCTATGTTACCAGCCAATATAAGGCAAGCCTTGACCCAATGACAGGATCTCACAGCTCTCTATGTTACCAGCCAATATAAGGCAAGCCTTGACCCAATGACAGGATCTCACAGCTCTCTATGTTACCAGCCAATATAAGGCAAGCCTTGACCCAATGACAGGATCTCACAGCTCTCTATGTTACCAGCCAATATAAGGCAAGCCTTGACCCAATGACAGGATCTCACAGCTCTCTATGTTACCAGCCAATATAAGGCAAGCCTTGACCCAATGACAGGATCTCACAGCTCTCTATGTTACCAGCCAATATAAGGCAAGCCTTGACCCAATGACAGGATCTCACAGCTCTCTATGTTACCAGCCAATATAAGGCAAGCCTTGACCCAATGACAGGATCTCACAGCTCTCTATGTTACCAGCCAATATAAGGCAAGCCTTGACCCAATGACAGGATCTCACAGCTCTCTATGTTACCAGCCAATATAAGGCAAGCCTTGACCCAATGACAGGATCTCACAGCTCTCTATGTTACCAGCCAATATAAGGCAAGCCTTGACCCAATGACAGGATCTCACAGCTCTCTATGTTACCAGCCAATATAAGGCAAGCCTTGACCCAATGACAGGATCTCACAGCTCTCTATGTTACCAGCCAAAGTGAGGCAAACCTTGACCCAATGACAGGATCTCACAGCTGTTTGTGTTAACGGATGCTTAAAGTTGAACAAGTTGCCAAATACAGTGCGCCAAATACTGTGCGCCAAATACAGTGCGCCAAATACCGTGCGCCAAATACACTTGATGAAGTGTAACAATGAGTGAATATTCCTGACTGAGTGTTTATCTGTTGCCGTGGATTTATGTATGTTGCACATTGTCTCTACAATAAACAAAGATAGAAAAAACATCATTACACCCTGACCGGGAATCAAACCGAGGCTACGGTGGTGAAAGCACCGAATCATAACCACTAGACCACCAGGGAATTTAAAAATACGAAAGCACAGCAGTGATCATTCTTTAATAAGAAAATTGAACAATTTAAAGAGAAGGGTTTGGTTCAGGGAGGGGTTCCTGTGTGGAGATAGAGAACCTTTCAGAAGAACACTCTGCAGCACTCCCTCAATCCTCAGTAGAACATGCAGCGAGGACTGATATATCACCCTCTCTCTCTCTCTCTCTCTCTCTACCTCTACCTCTACCTCTCTCTTTCTACCTCTCTCTCTCTTTCTATCTCTCTCTCTCTCTATCTCTCCCTCTCTCTCTCTACCTCTCTCTTTCTATCTCTCTCTCTCTCTCTCCCTTCTATGTTTCCCGTTTTGCAGGATCTGTCCATTCTCCCTTTTCACTCTTTTTCTCGTGCTTTCTCCGTCTCCCCCAGGCAGTGATCATGGTGTGAAATGCATTCGGTTCTGACCCAATTTGGGTTCAAACTCACAACCTCCTGCTTAACATCAGATGCAACTCAAGTTTAATTTAACCAGACGCTTTAGCAGAACATTAGATGTGTCCCTGACATGAGCTCTACGCACAGTCAACGATTGGCTTGTTCAGCATTTTACTGAGTGATCAACTGCTCTACGGTAGGTGGGATATGTGATCTTTGCTACACAGGATGGATTCCAGCACACAATGGCAGGACTGAATTCATATTGACCAAAGACTAGTCATTACTGTTTCATATGTCATGTCCCACTGTCTGATGGACCTCCTATTCTCCAGAGGAGGTGGCAGCTGACCTTTCCCGTGTCTTCTCTATTGCCTCCCGCCTTTCATCTCCTCTTCTAGCCTCTACACTCATTTCCTCTCCTCTCAGACTGTTGGTTTTGTCGGTCTGTAGGAAGTGTTGAATGAGAGTGACACATGGGAACTAGATCTCTAGCCCACACATATATGTCTGGACACACACATACTGTATTGACAGTGGAACAGAAATGTGTTTTTCTTACCAGGGAGTCCATTAGCTTTTAAACCACCGCTGCGATTAGCGTGTCGCCATGCCAAGCTAGTGCTTCCTACAATTGCACAAAACATAGCTGACATTTGAAACTGTCTTCGGTAAAGATCTTGTGACTTGAAGGCGTAGTTAGTTAAGGGACCTACTTGAGTTTATGAAAACACTATTGGAAAATATTGTCTAATATTCCGTGGGGTTTATGGCGCTGTTCAGGCATTTAATTCTTGGTCTCCATGGTAGCCTGTCTATGAGACCGGAACATGTTTCTGTCCCATCGCCCATTGATGCCTGAGATGGTGGACTCATATGCGACTCATATGTGACTCAGTTACACCAAGCTGTTAGTAACACCAAGTCTGACTGTAATTGGCTCTGACCACCTGAGGACCTGTGGGAGGAAACAAGCACATCAGAGGCCAACATCTGAGAGGAGGTGAGGAGGGGAGCAGGAGGTGAAGAGGAGGTGAGGAGGGGAGCAGGAGGTGAAGAGGAGGTGAGGAGGGGAGCAGGAGGTGAAGACACACAAGCAGATACACTCATACAGGAGAGGAGGTGAAGAGGAGGTGAAGACACACAAGCAGATACACTCATATAGGAGAGGAGGTGAAGAGGAGGTGAAGACACACAAGCAGATACACTCATACAGGAGAGAAGGTGAAGAGGAGGTGAAGACACACAAGCAGATACACTCATATAGGAGAGGAGGTGAAGAGGAGGTGAAGACACACAAGCAGATACACTCATACAGGAGAGGAGGTGAAGAGGAGGTGAAGACACACAAGCAGATACACTCATACAGGAGAGGAGGTGAAGAGGAGGTGAAGAGGAGGTGAAGACACACAAGCAGATACACTCATACAGGAGAGGAGGAGGTCAGGAGATCAGGAGATCAGGAGGGGAGGAGATCATAGTCAATTTGTCCAACATGGCACTCCTAGGAGTCTGACATAAACGTTTACAAAAAATCTTTGTGAACACCTGTGTGTTTTGCTTGGGGGGGAGAAAGTTCACTGGGCTCATATCCAGTCATTAGGCTGTCGAGACAAAATAATTACATTTTAATTACTACCCCAGACATTGATTTACTTCTGTCACTCAACATAACTGTCATAAGTTCACCCAGCACAGTCAGAAGCGGACTGGTCACCCCTCAGAGCCTGTTTCCTCTACAGGTTTCTTCCTAAATTTGACCTTCAGGAAGTTTTCCTAGCCGCCGTGTATCAACTTGTTCAACTTGTTATCCTTGTTCAACTTGTCACCATTTTGCACACATCACCATTTTGCACACATCACCATTTTGCACACATCACCATTTTGCACACATCACCATTTCGGCACACATCACCATTTTGCACACATCACCATTTCACCATTTTGCACACATCACCATTTTGCACACATCACCATTTTGCACACATCACCATTTCGGCACACATCACCATTTTGCACACATCACCATTTCGCACACATCACCATTTCGGCACACATCACCATTTTTCACACATCACCATTTTGTTCACATCACCATTTTGCACACATCACCATTTTGCACACATCACCATTTTGCACACATCACCATTTCGGCACACATCACCATTTCGGCACACATCACCATTTTGCACACATCACCATTTTGCACACATAACCATTTCGGCACACATCACCATTTCGGCACACATCACCATTTTGCACACATCACCATTTCGGCACACATCACCATTTTGCACACATCACCATTTTGGCACACATCACCATTTTGCACACATCACCATTTCGCACACATCACCATTTCGGCACACATCACCATTTTTCACACATCACCATTTTGCACACATCACCATTTTGCACACATCACCATTTTGCACACATCACCATTTTGCACACATCACCATTTCGGCACACATCACCATTTCGGCACACATCACCATTTTGCACACATCACCATTTTGCACACATCACCATTTCGGCACACATCACCATTTTGCACACATAACCATTTCGGCACACATCACCATTTCGGCACACATCACCATTTTGCACACATCACCATTTTGCACACATAACCATTTTTCACACATCACCATTTTGCACACATCACCATTTTGCACACATCACCATTTTGCACACATCACCATTTTGCACACATCACCATTTCGGCACACATCACCATTTCGGCACACATCACCATTTTGCACACATCACCATTTTGCACACATCACCATTTCGGCACACATCACCATTTTGCACACATCACCATTTCGGCACAGATCACCATTTTGCACACATAACCATTTCGGCACACATCACCATTTCGGCACACATCACCATTTTGCACACATCACCATTTTGCACACATAACCATTTTTCACACATCACCATTTTGCACACATCACCATTTTGCACACATCACCATTTTGCACACATCACCATTTTGCACACATCACCATTTCGGCACACATCACCATTTCGGCACACATCACCATTTTGCACACATCACCATTTTGCACACATCACCATTTCGGCACACATCACCATTTTGCACACATCACCATTTCGGCACACATCACCATTTTGCACACATCACCATTTCGCACACATCACCATTTCGGCACACATCACCATTTTGCACACATCACCATTTTGTTCACATCACCATTTTGCACACATCACCATTTTGCACACATCACCATTTTGCACACATCACCATTTCGGCACACATCACCATTTCGGCACACATCACCATTTTGCACACATCACCATTTTGCACACATAACCATTTCGGCACACATCACCATTTCGGCACACATCACCATTTTGCACACATAACCATTTTTCACACATCACCATTTTGCACACATCACCATTTTGCACACATCACCATTTTGCACACATCACCATTTTGCACACATCACCATTTCGGCACACATCACCATTTCGGCACACATCACTATTTTGCACACCACCATTTTGCACACATCACCATTTCGGCACACATCACCATTTCGGCACACATCACCATTTCGGCACACATCACCATTTTGCACACATCACCATTTTGCACACATCACCATTTTGCACACATCACCATTTTGCACACATCGCCATTTTGCACACATCACCATTTTGCACACATTACCATTTTGCACACATCCCCATATCGGCACACATCACCATTTTGCACACATCAACATTTTGCACGCATCACCTTGACATTTGCATTGATTTGGTGGACTTCCAATAACCGCTTTACCGCATTTGTATCAAGTAATTGTTTTTCAGTAAAACCCAGAGCTGTTCTGGAAGAGATGCCGGAATCAGAAAAGCTGATGTTTTGAACAAAATATATTTCCTGAATAAGTTGTACATAATATAATTGAATACCTAGCTGTTCTGTTCCAGCACAACCTCCAAACCAGTTGAGAGTTACAGACACGTTCATGGCACTAACACAATTATTCATGGAGGAGTTGGTGTTGCTTCAGAAGTTCAGATGTTAGCAGCTGGGTTTATGGTTTGGTATTAAGGAATAACGGGATCCCACCAAATGCTTCTAATGTCTATGGATCAGTCCAAAACAATGTGTCTGGAATGCCGTAGCCTACTGGTTTGCGTTGGGAATGCCGTAGTGGTCTGCATGGGAATGCCATACTGGTCTGCGTTAGGAATGTCGTAATGGTCTGCGTTGGGAATGCCGTACTGGTCTGTGTTGGGAATGCCGTACTGGTCTGCGTTGGGAATGTCGTAATGGTCTGCGTTGCAATTCGGATGCCGGATGAGTTCAATATTTACAACTCTTGCATACTTTTTAGCGCACATGAATGTATGAGATACAACCGTCCTCAAAGTTCTTCTGACATCACGCAACCGTAGAAATCATGAGGGGGAGGTCGTATTGAAAAAACATAACGTCTTGATAGGATTTGGAAATAACATTTACATTCATTACGTACTTCCACTATTAACGAGCGCAGTTTCTCATCCCGAGAAGTTGTCTGTGAAGATGTCAACGACCCAGCATGCAACACTGC